GGCAGAAATTATTGCCTGCTTCACAAGTTCTTCACATTAATCTTATCTCTGGATTCCTTTTTGAGAATGTTTATTTTATTACTATTATTTTATTATTTCATGTTTTTATGCTTGTTTATATGTATTTACATGAGAAGTCAAATAACTTTTTCAGATTGGTTTAATCTATGCTCTTGCATGCAGCCTGATAAGCTACAAAGCAATGAAGTATTCATTTCAATTCACGGTAGCATTCACTTGATGGCACACGATGATAATGGTGGTGATTAAAAAAGCAAAGAAATCTCCATGCTGAGTTTGATTCACAAAGTGATGTAGAAAATAATGCAACGCTTAATAATAATGACACAAAATGTGCAACAACTTTGGTTTTTGTAGTTCCTAAGGGTAGAACCCCTAATACTGGGTAATGGGAAAGGGAATATCCTCTAAGCATAAGAAATGCATTCTTGACAGTAAGAGCTCTTTGACACTGGAATGAACTGCCTTCAAAAATGGCAGACTCTTCTCCATTGGAGAGATTTAAAATGAGGTAAGATGGATGCCAGTCATTTCCTGCTTCATTGGAGGTTAGACTTGGTGACCTTTATGGGTTCTTTCCAGCTCTCCAAGTTTAAGCTTCTATGTAATATAAGAAACTGTGAAAAACCAAAACAGATCAACTGATCTATCACTAAATGTCTAGTTTCACATTTTTATATCAGATGATTATCATGAGAAGAAATAATTCCATTTTGCATTCTACTGCTTTTTGAGACTTGCAATATTTTCCAAAATGTTTATTTCAAACTTTAATATTTTTTTTCAGCTTCCAGTCAGTTTCTTATTTATTGTATGTCCAATGAAATAACTTCTCAATATGGGATTTAACCCGATTTATCATCCTAAGGCTTGATGTGTGACCCACATAAATATTTTCTATTTTCTTATATAAAAGTTCTTGGGAATAATAATAGGAGAACTTTGGGGAACATTTGGTTGTTATTCACATTTTGGTAATCATATTAGAAACCACAGTGAACAAATGAAACCAAAGTGCTTTCCTCTGCTTCCCAAGGCCATATTTCCTTTTTTTTTTCATTGCCTCCCTTAAACATTTGATACCAAATTGACAAGCTAACAAGAACATAGAGTTCTGCATTTATTCTCAGCTCATTAAATACTCGCAGTTAGGAATTAACATGGAGCTTTAACAGCGGGAAAAGAAAGTGTTCAGCATTTATTGGGGTGGGATGGTCAAACATGAATGACAATATAATACTTGAGATTTTTTTCTGTCCAAGAGGTTTAGATGTTTACGTATTAATCCATAGGCTTCCTGTTACTGCGGAAGTCAGTTTCACTGTCTTATATATTACTGCTGTAGCTAATAACTAGCAAGAGAGAGAGAGATAGATTTTGAGGGATTTGTGCTGAACGAGAGAGAGAGAGAGAGAGAGATTTTGAGGGATTTGTGCTGAATGGCCTACCTAAACCCTCAATTGCCAATAGCTCATTTCTCAAGGATATGCTCCAGCCAAACAGGTCCTGCAAAACTCTGTCCAGAGTGCTGAATAGTACTTCTGCTCTGCTATGGCATGGGCAGTCCTAATGAGAATGGTTCACCACCAAGACCTTGCTACATCTCATGGCTCATCTTAAGAGAGAAGACCAATTACTTCCCCAAGATGTAATGTAGCCCTCTCTGAATTGCTGTGGGCATACAAGGAACCTCTTGCTTCTCTGCAATCCCATAGAATCATGACACAAAGGAAGAACTGAATTGTTTCACTACTTCTTTTTGGTCCCTTTTTTTTCTGTATTAAAAATCCATCCTATCTGTCATATTTTATAAGTTTGTTTCTTAAAAACACTAAAAGTCTTTGGACTGACAGCAGTAGATGTTAAACATCAGCTTTCTGTGCTCAGCAACCACCCAAAAAGTAAGATCTATGCTTTTTCAAAGTATCTTTTTGAAATTGAAGTTTTTCTTCCATTATTAATCAATGGAAAATTCTCACAAATCCTTCTGGGCAACACAAAAAGTGACATGTAGCAGAACACAAGTAATGAAATACATGTCAATGGTAAGAAATACTACACTGGCTATTTGCAAAACCACTAGCCTTAGCAAAACTAATTAACACATACAATATAGTAAGGATCTATTATGCCAGTTCAATCCTCTGTTTATAGGCTGAAATTTTGGAATGTTATTGTTAATAACATCATAACACATTTGTTCAGTAGACAACTTAATAATCATTACTTATATCAAAAGTTAGTATCAGCAAGCTTCCCAAATTGCATGTACATTTTTTCCAGACTAGTTGTGTTTGGTATGCCACTTCCTAGTAAGCAGAAAATGTTCATTTCTAATTGCGATATAAATCCAGTACAAATTATTTGTTCCATTACAAGTCTAAGATCTCAAGAAGAACACAGTTTCTGGTAAAATAACTTACTACATTATGTGTAGTAATTAGAAGGTGTTAAACGGACTTTATGACATATTTCATGCATTTGCAGCAGAGTAAAGGAACAAATGATTTAATCCCATAGTGACTTCAAAAGGATTTATCTAGTGCCATTTAATCTAGAGCTCTTGAATAAGCGGAGTTTCAGAAAATATGCTAATTTTCTTTTTCTTTAATTGGGTCTCTCTGGAATTAGCATATTATTTCTCTGCCACAGAAAGGACTAGATCAAGCCAGCTGAGCAACTAAATATTTTGCAAATCAAGTAATCCATGCTCTGACACTGCCTGCATCACATTTCAGAAATAGATCCCATAAGAAAATAGTTTTGTTTGAATAGCTGTGAACCAGGAAAAGAGTTTTAGCAGCGAATGAAAATCTACATTACAGAGCTGACATATTGTATCTTGTCCTCATGCACCGAAGTTATCAGCAGTAAACTTTTGAGAATGACTCTTCAACAACTAGTCAGTCAGTTTTATTGCAAATAACTTCAAGGGTGTGCCCAGAAGTTAGAAACGATGCTGAATGTACTAATGAAATCAATTCATCATGAACACAAGTCACTATGACAAGCTTTTAGAACCTTTGCTCTAATCTTTTTGGCAGCCACAGCAAATAAAGCTAACCTGATGGGGTTACATAACGATCTATACCAGCAGGTAAGCTGCACATTTCTTCAAGCAAGGCTCTGTTAGCATTTTCTTCTGATAAAAATGAAATACTTTTTTTCTTGTGAGCACAGAAATCTCTCTCTCTCTCTCAATCTGCCCACCACCACAAACAGATAATTAATCATATATTCTATTTGTGGTGCCCTCACTACACAATAGTTCAGGTATGGCAGTATTTCCATGTCATCCATCTAAGAAGGAATGGTCTGCAAGTATAGTTCTCTAGATGCCATTATTAATTCCAGATCAGTCAATGAGTTTTTAAAATGGATCATACAATCATAAAATAATTGAGTTGCAAGGGGCCTATAAGACCAGGAATCCAAATCAAAGTAGATCTGACAGATGGTTTTCCAATCTTCTCTTAAATGTCTCTTCTCGCATTTGTAGAGATGATATCATGTACCAAATCTTGTTGGTAGAACAATGCCTACAATTTTATTAGTGTCTTGTGGATAGAATTACTTTCTAATGTTAACCTTTGGTTCACTTACATGAACAGAAGTGAATGAGAGAATAAAATGAGGTGGTCTTTCAAAACAGGAGTTGGTGCAAACATGCAACCTCTGTTTCAGACAGCAAAATTTAGCCACATAATGGTCAGCTGTGTTAATAAACATTTTCAAATAAAAGAACAGAGCCTTCTTCACCCATGCAGAGATTGATGGCAGCCCATCTCAGCACAAAGAAGTGTGTCTTGTGAACTAGGAAAAAGGGGTCAAAACAAATCTTGAAAATATATTTTATAAGGTCTCTAGATCAGCCATTCTCAGCCTTCTGCCATTAACACAAAATGACATAAATATAGGCCAAATCAGCATTGTATAAGTCACATAACAAACCTTAGAAGGTGGTGCGTGAAGAATTGTTTCCAGTCAATGGCCCCTTCAAATTTGAGAATGCCTGCTCTGGATCATCTATTTTACTCATTCCCAAATCTCTTCACTATAAAGAATTTATGCTAGAATTTCCCCACGAAACATTTTCAGAGCCAGCAGTGCCAGCAGAATCAACACAAGTCCCTAAGTGAGATTAACAATACCATGATCATAAATTGCTTTTTGAACATATTGGGAATGGAGGGAGTGTCTGTGATCAAAACCCTTCTAGTTTTAACACAGTCAAGAATTTTTCATGTTGGCGATCCATGCCAAAAAGCCAGGTTTAGGAAGCTAAACCTGATTGCCTTAACAGATGTCCACCACAATCACCAATGCTACTGGGCAATGCCATCAATTGTGGCTGCTTACAATACACCCACCATGTATTCGCAATGTTTTTCAGAGCAAAACTGAGATGGGAAGGATGCCTGTGATCAGCAAAAATGCAGAACCTTTTCAATCCTGTTTTGTGATAAAAGCTAGCTGAGTCTTGCCACAACCCTGAACTTCGGTGTTTTCACCTCCCCATTCATTTTTGCACCATTTTTGTTGGACAAAGAACATAAGAGCTACTTTTGTGTCATTTTTTGGTAACGCACCTCCCCATTCATTTTTGCACCATTTTTTTTGGACAAAGAACTTAAGAGCTTGTTCTACTTTTGTGTCATTTTTGGTAACTTTTCAGTACCTTTGATAAAAGGAATCACTCAACAATTGAGGGATCCCGCCAACGAAATCAAGTCATAAGTAGCACACACACCCCAGACCACTTGAGGGCAGAAACTGAGTGCATTTCTGCAGACTTACTAAAACCACAGACTGTTCTAGACAAATTAATTCACCAGTTCTATGTTGGGGTATGTCCTGATGAAAGTAAAATGATGCCACCCATGGCAGAATTCATCATTGCTACACTACTATTGGGGCAACAGCTCTTCAAATAATGGTCAGTAATGGTTAATCCCAGGTATCTTATACAAGGGGCTCACCTGTAAGTCTTTCCAAGGCATCAAATCCATGCTTCAGTGCAACAATATCAAGGAAAGAAACTGTACCATCCTCAAATCTACATGAGGTATGAAAAGGAAGAAATTACATTGTGATTAATGCTTTGCTACTGTTCATATAAAAGCCAACAAAAACATAAAATATCAGCAGAAATCACTTGCTTATTTCCTCGTATACTGATACTGACCTAGCTGCAGCAATACTTTTGTAGCTGCAGAGACATGAATTTCCAGGGGAGGGATTTCAATGGGAACAAAAAGCAAGTAATTAGTCCCAAGCATATGTGAGATTAACAGCACAAGCTTCTGTCTGCCCAGTGATGTGGTGGAGCCAGGCCTCACAGTGTTGGAGCCCTGGAACTTTCTCAGTATGAGGGATTTGGGAGCAGGCCTCCTTGGTGGTTATCCCTGATTTATGGAATGCCCTCCCCTCTGAGGATACGTTGGCTTCCTCTCTCTTCTCCATTTGGCAGCAAGTGGAAATATTTTTGTTCCATCAGGCTTCTAATATTTAATATCCAGTTTTAACAACTGCCCTGTACTGACTGCGAAAATATTCTTTTAAATGTATTTGTATGCTTTTAAATGTTTTAATTTGTTTTATAACATTATTTAATATTCCCCCCTTTAATAAATTTTTAATCTTTATTGTATGTTGTTTTAATTCTGGTCTCATTTAATTATTTGTGAGTCACATTGAGTCCCATTGCTCATAGGAAAAATAGCATAGAAATGCAGTAAACCAACAAACACATGCACAACAAGGACAATGACCTTCTGTTCACTTCATGTTTAGGTGCAATCTTCACAACAGCAGGGAAAGAACTAGATTTTCCAAGGAACAATATGTTGTTGGAAGTAGTCCTTGTTATCAAGCAAAGAATCTGCTGTTGACTTGCTCTTGCTTGGTCAATTCACAGCTGTTAGCTTTACAGAATGCTTGTTTCACATTTGAAATATGGGCTGATCCAGCTGATCCATTTTTGGCCTAATCTAGGAGGTGGTTAGCCATCGAGACTGTCATAATGAGTATTTACACTCTCCAAATTACCACACCACCACTTTTGAATATCCCCTTAGAACTGAATCAGTTTAAGGCTGTGACCACATGATCAACACCACTATGGAATTTGCTGCAGTTATAATATGAGTTGACTCAAAGTTTTTTTTCCTGATCACACAAGCATTTTAATGGATTTGTGTGTGTGTGTGTGATCAGTTGATTTGTAACGATGGAGGGAGCATGTCTGTGGGTGGTGTTTCAGTGATAGAGGCAGTTGGGGCATGCTGTTCAGGACTGCAAGAACATCCCAATTCCCTTCTAATTTTTTTTCAAAAATGTATTTATATGAGATTAGAGCTAGATCACCTTATCACTTTATCACTAGTACTGATAAAAATTACAAATAAACCATAAAGATCTCAGATGAAATAAAGTTTTACTGTAGTATGTGGTGTTTATTGTGGTATGTGGTGTGGTACATGTTAAGAACTTTGGAATGCTGTCACTTCTTCCTGAAAACTGTATACAGTGGTGCCTTGAATTATGATGTCCCCACTTACAATCATTTCGAGTTACAACCAGCTCCAGCCACAAAATTTTGTTTCTACTTGCGAATGGAGCTTCCACTTACGAACAGAAAAAGGCAGGGGAAAAAGGCGGGAAATTCAAATTGCTAACTCTAGGTGGTGAAAGAGGCTGCTTCTTTGTAGCTCTTTTGCCCCAACGGTTAGACTGAGTGGGATTGAGGAGGGACTGCCCGGCTTCTGCTTCTCAGTGAGCATGTGTGTGTTTGCCGGGAGGCTTGGGACTGCCTGTTAGGTAAGGTAAGGTGCTGTTTTCTGCTTTTTAAAAACTGTTCTGGGTGTTTTTGCAGTGTGGTTTTAGGCTGGGGGTGATATATTTCTGTGCAGTGGTGGGTCTCAGGGGGTTTGTTTGTTTGTTTGGGGTTTCCCCCTCATTTCCAATGGGTCCTGCATGCTTCCCTTGCTTCTTCCTTTGTTTTCTTTGCATTTCCAATCGTGTCCCTTTGTTCTCTATGCATTTCCAATCTCCTCCATTTGTTTTCTCTGCATGTGCAATGGGTCTTGCACACTTGATGGCTTTTCATTCTCTCCCCCTTTTTATCATGTTCCCAGGGGGTTTCAACAGGCAAAAGTCCAATATACCAGTCCAATATCAGAAGTCCAGAAGATGCAAAGCAGATACCAAAATGCCAAAGCCAAAACACAAACCGTAGTCAGCAGTCAGAGTCCAAAGCCAAGGGTCCAAAGTACAAGATCTAAGGTAAGGAGGAGCATGGATGTGAGCCAGGGTGTTGAATTGTTGCTTCCACAAACTTCCAAGCCTCTGGGTGCACAGACACACACACACACACACACACACTTCCATAGCCCTTTAAAAACAATAAAGCCAAACAGCAGCATAACTGCTGTGAAGATGTGAGGATGAGGAGACAAAGGCCATTGCCTAGAGTGGCCTTTTAGGCCAGATGGGCGGGGTATAAATCAAATAAATAAATAAATAAAATAAAAGAACACAGCCCACCCTAGTACAAAAGGATAAAGGAAGCAAACAGGTTTTGCCAGGCATCAAGATGTTAGAAGTTCATTTTCATCCCCCTTCCCAGGACTCAAAATGAAGACGTGAGACAGTGATATGGATTAAATACAGGCCACACTTTATTAAATCAATTCAGATTATAGATATCATTGTCCTCATGAAATAAAGGAACCTGTGGTAGTGCGGAGAAAGAAATGCAGGGCATCCACGATACCCTTATCAGTCAATGGGCGAGTCCTAGGCCCCAGGTTCCAGCGGTCTTGACGACAGCAGGAACCCGGCCAGCCTCTAATAAACATCCCAGACCTTGAGCCATCTTTATTTGATGACTGTTGGTCCGAAAGTGGCCCAGCGCATCTTCCTGCCGCTGGCCCTGTAATCGCATGATCCGCAGAGCCGGGAGGTACGATGCGCTGTTGGCTTACCATAATTATCAAAGGGACACACCGAGACAACCAGTTTTTTCCCACACTACCCATCAGTTTGAACAAGAATAACCACCAAACAAATGCCAACAACCCTTCTCCAGTGTGGGATAGGTAAAAAATTCCTCCATCCAATGGCCAATCAGGATAAAGGTCAAAAATTCCTATCCGGCCCCATAAAGGAGACCAAAATCACACTAGAAAGAGGGTGGGTGGGCGGGTGCCCGAACAGAAAGAGGACACGTCAGGGGCGCGTGTTCCTTTAAATAGTTGCTCGCCCCCTCCACATGACTGGAGCTTGCCTCACATCCTCCGGATCTGAGGAGGGCAAACCCAGTCCTGCAGTTCAAGGAAGCTGAAATGTCTTTCCTGCAGCCGGAACCTTTGTTCTATAGAATGGGGCAATTTTTTTTGTTTGCTTACAACAGCGCTCAGTCATGGGAGCCTCTGCCTTCAGCAGCATAACTGCCAAGGTCCCTAGACCCTTTCCTCCGTACCTTAGCAGACTGGACCCATCCATTTTTCAAAGTTGTTTCTCTGTTTTGAATAAGACTATTTGAGGCCCAAAATAAGTCCACAGGGCAGCCTTTAAATGGCAACCAGTACCAGCTAGAAACTCTGGAGGGTTTGGTTGGCCATTTCTTGGCTGACAAAAATCTTTCTTCCCAGGTGAAGCATGTTGGATGGGTCTGCAACACCACACTGGCTAACTTTGAAGGCAGTGTATGGCCTACTCTGTCTACAGATTGAAGCTTTCCACCTTGATGAGAATTAGGTTAGAGTGAAACATAAAAGACAAGATGGGACATCAACAGTGACAGATTTCAAGTATGAGCTTACTCTTGACCTCTTTTTGGCACATTCTGTATGATTGTGGCCTCTGTTCAAGTAAAGTATCATTATGTTCTGTAGAATGCTGAGCACAGCAGAGATGCTTTTAAATAATATATGTTAAATAGTAGATGCGGATTAGAGAGAAAGAAATTTTTTTAAAAAGGAGAGAAAACAAATCCAGCCATTCCAAAACAGCTCCATCCATATATGAGTGATCCAAGACTGAGCTCAGGCTCGTGAGAATGGAAATTATCATTTCACATGCTTGCTTCAGCATTTCACACGTGAGATACATGAGTTCAAACACTGGATCAGCAAGCCTGGGAATCTTATGTACTTCCATTTTCCTTTGGCAATGATCTGATAAATTTCCCTACTCCCTCATGCCCTCAAAAAGGAAAGGCAAGCCACAGCAGGTGTTCACACTCCTTAGAGGGTCTGAATTTGAAACTGTTGCTTTAAACACTTCTATAATATTTCAGAAAGGAGGAACGAAATAAGTTGATTAAAACTAGGATAGCTGACATTCTAGTCTCTCTAGACAGAGAAATCTCATTTTAAAAAATTCATTGGAAATGTAAGGTGCATTGGTAGGTTTCAGGAAAGATAATTAGAATGGAATGTCATAATACTTCAATTAAGCCTTCTACAGCAATTATGAGGCAAAGCAATCTCTGAAGTGCTCTATCAGCATAGTCCTATTTAATTTCATGTGCTGCTGGAAACAGAGGTTTCTGCTATACACATTATGCCCCATTTTACAGTGTCTACTTTTCAGACAGACTATGGCCCTTGATATAAACTGATAAATGATCAGTCATGTAAACACTGAAGCAACATACTCATAAGCAGCTTGTAAAGAAAGCTCAGAATGTTACTTTTAAGAAGAATGAATATAATTATCTGCTGAAGCTTTCCATAACTGAGCAGCAGTAGGATAGTGCTCTAGGCTTCACTGCTTGGTTATAGATGGTTTCAGCACATCATTATGCTCATTTCTCCAAAAAGTAACTTTCCAAACTCTGCTTGCAATTCATCACATTCTAGTCTGGATGTACATAGTGATAACATGAAATGTGCACAACGGTTTTTGCTTAAGTGTGTTCTTGAAGGCTTCACAACTGGGATCTGATGGTTGTTCTGGGTTTTTCAGTCTGTTTTGCCATGTTCTGGATGTTTTTCTTCTTAATGTTTTGCCAGTCTCTATGGCCAGCATCGTCAGAGGACGAGCTAGAAC